ACACACACACACACACACATATACGTATACATATGTATCATATGTATACGTATATGTGTGTTAAGTATTTGTATACTGTATGTGTACAGTGACCCCAGTATTTTAAATTTTGAACATCTATTACTGCAACTGTACATTCATGAGAGAAAACTATAACAGGCTCTTTTTATTTTCACTAACTTGTGTGTATATGTGAGTGCACCTGTGCTATCTGACAGATAGTGTTGCTGTTTGCTGCTGAATTTCCGTCATGTCTCGGTCAGGCTGCGTGTGTCCGTTTGAAGGAGCTGCAGAGTGTTGAGCGCAGCAGTATTACGGGAAATGCCTCTAGATACAGAGCCTCTCAGTGCTGTGAGCAGTGGATGGGACTAATTTAGACCATGTTTACGAGAGAGAGAGAGAGAGAAAGAAAGAAGGAGATGGCAGTGTGGGAGAGGAAAATGTTGGGGTGAGAGTAATTACGGATGTCGGTGTAATTATTGCAATGACAAAGAAAAGGGAGATCCAGGGGAATAGGGCTCAGGAGATGATAAGAGAGAGAGTAAAGAAGAGACGGAGGACAAAATGATGGCAGGAGAGAACAAAAAAACAATGTTTTCTCTGTGCCACCCCCTCCATTCACCCCTTCCCCCCATCTGCCTTTCTCCCCTCAGGAATCTGTCTATTCCTCTTTTCCTCTGCTCCTGCATCCCCTCCTCCAACCCTCCCCCCCCCCACTCCTTTTCCTAAGTATGTGGATGGCACTCTACCACCGTGCCAGCCCTCTCTCTCTCTCAGTGTGTGCAGTCATGTATCAGGTTAGAGACATGCATCGTTGAAAGCGCCTGTGTGTGAGTGCATAGAAAAACATTTAAGGAGGACAATGAGGGAGCTACTAGAGCTGTTCTGCTTTGTGAGTACGGGGGCACACGTGTTTTGTTTTGTATTTAGATCTTTATTCTGGCTCTACCAGTGAATAAGAGGGCAGGGGTGGCTGTGTTTGTGAACTTTTGTCTATTGTTACGCCTTTGAAAGACAGTGTGGACAGTGAATGTTGTTGTGATCACGAGGTGTCACTTTCATTATAAATTGCATAAAATATCAAATGTTTTGCTTGATGAAATTTGCAGTCATTTGTATTTATATGTCTAACACTATATATGGTGTTGTAGTGCTTACATGTATTCTTCTGTTTTATGATTCCAGTTTTAAGTTGAGCTTACAAATGTGCTAACTACAGCTAGGAGGCATTTCTGTGCAAGCGACTGTGGCTCACGTTTACATTCTCACATTTACTGCTAAAACATGCAGAGCGTTGCTTTAGGATTTGTCATCCATATAGTTTATATATACTTTTTTCATGTGACATGCATGTTGTGATGTCAGCCAGTCAGCTCAGATAAAACTATTAAAGGCATACAGTCCCTCTACCTCTCATCTTCAGGCATATACACACTTTAATATCCTCCTATTGCACGGTTACATGTAAACAAACGTATCACTACACATATTCACACTGACTGGGTCACCTAACTACTGCTGCCATGGAAACAATGTGTGACTGGCACCTTGCCGGTGATCGTGTCACAGAAATTTGCATTCCAGCAAAGACTGGAAGGTGAAAGTTCTTCCAGTGGCTAGAAGCTGTTAATAACATGACTCAAATATATGATGATGTTTAATTCCTAAAATTGTGTCTAATATGTGATCGTCTAAAGCTAAACACTTCCAGAGGGAGAGGCTGCACTTAGCAATTGAAGTCAAAAAGAACTACAACATGAATTAATTAGCAAAAAAAGTAAAAGATAAAAATATCAAGCGTGCTTTCATTTTGAAGGAAATGCAGATCAGCCTGGAGCCTATCCCAGTTGTCATTCATCTTGAAGAGAGACACTCATTTGCATTTGCATTCACACCTATGGGCAATTTAGACCCCACCATTGGCATGTCTTTGGTCTGTGGGAGGAAGCCGGAGTACCCGGAGAGAACCCAAGCAGACATGGGGGAAACATGCAAACTCAATGCTAATAGTGCATTATGAAAATGTAGCCAAAACTAGCTGGAATTTGTCCTGATCATGTGGCGGTCTTGCACTGGCATCTTATTCAGCCACAGCGAGTATAGGTGTTATCCACATCATCATTCATCAGTCATTCACAGCAGCAGATGGCACCTGTTAACCAAAGGTCTGCTCTCATTTGACAAACTCGCAGCCAGGACAGATGGAGCAAGCTGCTTGTGAGTAGACAAGCAATAATATTTAAAAAGAAAAAAGCTTTGATTTGATACCAGATCATAATGGTTAATTATAAGCTGATAAATGATGAGGGAACGAGATTTATTTAATGCGCATTTGTATATCTTTTTTTGTGACACATCATACCAAACCAGATTTAAAAGGTACTGAATATCCTGAATATGTCAGGACTAATGTCTTTATAGTATAATTGTAAATGGAAAAAGGTTTTTAATATTGAAAATCATGTTTCAGTTTCTTCATGTCTCCCTTTGTTTATTTGTTCTTCTCTTTTAGGACATAAACAAACGTTTGTCTCTCCCAGCTGATATCAGGCTACCAGAGGGCTACTTGGAGAAGTTTGCCATGAACAGCCCGCCCTTTGACAAACCCATGAGCCGCAGGCTACGACGCGCATCATTGGTCAGTACTTAATTTATCTGTGTGCACATTTGCATCTATATATATGTGTGCAAAGCAGTTGAAGCTAGTCTCTGATGTCATTTTATCTGGGTGTGTGCTTGCCCTTTTTCATGCTGCTTTGTGTAGAAACAAAAGTAATGTAAGCTTTCAATGCCATTGTACACTACTTGAATGCTTGACCAGGGCCATTGTTGTCTAAAACGCACACACAGAGCAACGACACAAACATAGACTCACTTTAAACACACACTGGGCTATGCTATAGTGCTTACAAGGCCTCAGTAGGGGCATGAATGATAGATTCTGAATTATGTATACAGGCCAAGAGCATTATGGGTATGAATTGGGGTCTGGCAGTGAGAGGAGGGGTTGTTCGGGAAAGAAATAGGCTTGTATTCATGAATATGCAGCATGTCCTTTAATTGTTGAAGTACCCCTGCTCTGTCACTTTTATTTTGGTCACACTTTTTTTCCAGATTACTGTTTTGTTTCTGTCATCGCTCCAACTTTCAAGTTTCCTATTATACATTACTGTGCGGTGCCCTTTGTTTCACTCCACCCACATGCTTGCTTAGTTTTAAAGGGAATTCAGTGTACTTAGTCAATGCATTACATTAAACAAGATTACTGAAAGCCTGATATTCTTTGGGAAAATATGAAGGACTCATCCTCCATCAACCGTCCATTTGCCCGCCTCAATCTCTCCGCTTGAAGCAACTTAATGACGTCGCTTTTCTGCAGGAGGCTCACAGACTTGAAAGCAAAGAGTCTCTGAGGGGAAGTATATGGTATAAGGGTGGAGCAGAAGAAGAGGATAGTCATATATATCAGATGTATAGTGTGCGTTTTCTTGGGTTTGCCCAGCTGTGTGGAGCTGTGTATTGTTGTTGTATGTGTGTGATGTAATAGATCAATCAATAATTCAGCAGAAGTGTCAGTCTCATCTGCTGCAGCTCCTCTCCTGACTGGGATTACACCCCAGGACACCTTGGGATGAGCTAGAGAGCACGGAAGAGAAAGGGAAATGTACAAAAGGAGATGAAAAGAGAGGACTAAAAGGGCTTGAATGATAAGATGTCAGGTTTAAAAAGGGCATGGATAACTGAAAAATGCTAAGCAAATGTAAGTAAAGACAAATGGAAACATTAGTGGCACTCTGTAGCTGGATTCAGGTTTTATACCAGGAAAACAAGGTTTTGATTGATCCTGAGCTCTCTGCCGAGCTTGCAGCCCATGTGTTCAGAAGATGCATCACAGCCAGACTGTTTTTGTTATTAGTCCTGGTCGTTTCTTTACATAGGGTAATGCATCCATGCAAAAGTGTGTTTTTGACCGTGCAGTAGTCTGAACATGGTTTGCACAGTATGTACGGTATTTAATTGCTTTGAATTTGTGCTATAAAATGAATTAGCCTGTGAAATTGCAGAAATTCCTCATTCACTGCTCATCTGCTCCTGAAATAGTTTAAGTACATTTAAAAGGAGCTAAAGATGTTGAAAATAAATGGTTTCACAAGAGATTTAAGTTTAACTAGAGATTATCTAGTGAAGGATTGGCTGCGATGACCCATGGGTACTCATCGGTATGACATGAGTCCTGAGTGCTTGTGGATTTCACCACACCTTTCTTGGTTCTCAGCCTTTATTTTTACTGTGGAGTTGTGATGCTATCAAGTCAAATTTGTCCACAGACAGGCAAACAAACACCTCCCAAATTGCTTTAAAAAATTCCTCTGTGGTATTTCCTGTTGCAACAAGCAATACCAGTTATCCTGTTTGGGAAAACATGTTTCTGAGAAAACTGATGTAATAGCCTCGGGCTGCCTGTGCGCGTGTCATATGTTACGGTAATGTAGATCATGTTTCCGGTACTCCATCGCAGACTCACGTGTTTCGAGCGTCGTTGCCAGTGTAATGCAAGTGAAGTTGGTATCAGTTTTCGCTCATGGCTGTTGCACATTGGTAATCAATTATTCACAGGAGTCCAGTGAAACTCCGTGTCCCATGGCACTGAGGAGCGAGATGTCATTTTACCTCGAAGCACAACACTTAATCATATTGTGCAGCACTCGCTTCTTTCCACGAACCCGTTCAACCTTACAGCAACACTGAGCTAAAAAACTTCTATTATTATGTCCCTCTCTGTTTGCTTATGTTTTCATTGTAAGTCACATATGATGCAACTGATGAAAGCTCAAAGGACTGCTAAGTATTGTGCAGTCCTTCGGTTTTCTTTTTTGTAGCTGTTGGCAGGTTTACATGAAAATGGTGACAGTGCAGTAGTTCTGAGGAATGGCAGCTTCGTGTTAATGAATGGCCTCGTCTTTCTTCCCACTCTCATATCCTGCCACCTCTATCATTTTAGCTTTCCCACTGAATACTATAAATCCACACTCGCTCTCAAACTTAAGCTTTCTTCTAGGTAGCGCATAAAGAAACTGTAATTACAAATGAAATATGGATAATTCGTTTGATTTCTTTGTCAATAAATATCTTCTTGCAGACATTTCACTTCCTGCATTTTTTGTACTATGAGTTCATCAGGCTGTGTTGCCCTGCAGCCTGAGACACTTACACTCACATATTGTTTGGTTTTATCTTACTTCAGTTTTGTCACTAAAACCTGGCCTGACCTAGTTCTGCTGAGTAAGCTCGCTCGAGCGTTGGGAATGAAATGAACCTATTGCCATCAAAAGCATGCGCAGGCGCACAAGCTCTCACCAAACATGGTGAGGCAGCCGGAGAGCGCTGCTGCACACCGGTAGCAGAGAGGTGTGCCTTTCTGTGTGCACGCACTGCTTCACGAGGCAAGATTCATTAAATGATTGTTATTATAGGGGTTAGCTCTGGGGCAGGTGGCAATGACGTCTTTGTGTGTTTTTTTGTGTTAAAGCATAAAGCATAAAGTGTGTCTAAGTGTATTATGAAGTACACGCCCCTGCTTTACATAAAAGCTCACATATCTACTCTGAAGTTTTTCTTTCATCTTTTTTGTGAGTTTGAAGGGCTGAAGTTGACCTGTAACAAATAAAAGCACCGATTTAAATACACAAATGTGTCAGTTAATTAACAACTTCTGCACATTTAAGCTCCTGCTTACCCACGTCCACACTGACTTGTCTCAGTGTGTAAGTATGCCATCTTGTATCCGAGCTTATTCAGATGTGGTTTTTCTAGGCATGCCTTTAAAGACATCACATGCTTCAACAGCTAACTTGGTCACCGGAGACCCTCCCCCTCCCTCGCACACGCATGCGTACATGCATTGGCCTGGGACTTTGTACGATTGTCACGATGGGACAGACTAAATTAAGAGGGTTGAGTGTGTTCATTATAATGAATGTAAAGGAAACGTCACACAATTAGACAGATTATTGAGGAAAAGTGAGAAACAAGTGACAGGGATAAACCCTGACACCCTGTGGGCATCACAGCTTTATTTAGCTACATCCATCCATAATTCATGCCTTCAAAACCCAGGAGCCACATGCATTATACAGCTAATCATGTATGACTGCGCTCAGGTTGATTTCATCACTCTGCAGTGTTTACCTTCCACATCTTTATAGTCTATAAAATGTTTAGATATAAAAACAGAGTTGCCATATTTGATTATCTTTGCTACACTGACACCTTGTGGCCAAAACGTATATGTGCATCTGTAAATTACGTCACACCTTACCAGTAATGACAGTGAAAGAGCCTTTGCAGATTTCTAGATAAATGTTGATATTTTTGTCCTTTTCCTTTTGAACATATTATGTCTGCAGACTGTTGTTCAAGATGAATCACACTCAAAAATACAGAATAATCCTAAAACTTGCTCCAGCAGCCCTGTAATTTGTACACATTACAGGATAAAAAAAGGCCTGGTGACTCAGAAACCTGCAATTGTCGGAGAGATTTCAAAAGTAGTGAGGCTGACAGTTAAATTAAGTATGATGCAGTATCCGATCAGGCTGTGCAAAAGCAAGATTTGACCTGTCATTGCCAGCCTCCTCAAACGCCTTCTCTGTCCTCCGCAGTCTGAGATCGGCTTTGGGAAACTTGAAACCTACATCAAACTGGACAAACTAGGAGAGGTGAGGTCAACAAAGAGCCACCGGCAGAAGCAACACAATGCAAACAAAGTGTTCATCCACTGTATCTTACATTTACTGTTTCTTTACATCTCTGCAGGGGACCTATGCGACAGTATTTAAGGGGCGAAGTAAGTTAACAGATAACTTGGTCGCCCTGAAAGAGATCCGCCTGGAGCACGAGGAGGGCGCGCCCTGCACCGCTATCCGAGAAGGTACTGACCAACAGTTGTGATTTGGAAGCACACACCTCCAAAGTCAACATGGCACACTTGTACATGCAGACAAAAACTCGACAGTGTGTCTTGTAGCGTCGTGGGCTGAAGTATGAGGCGTTACGTCTCTGTTTGACTGACAGCGTCTCATCTGTCTTCTCCTCCAGTGTCTCTACTGAAAGACTTGAAGCACGCCAATATTGTCACTCTCCATGACATTATCCACACTGACAAGTGCCTAACACTCGTGTTTGAGTATCTGGTGAGTGTCACTTTGTTTTTAATGTGTGAGTTACACAAAACCAGAAACTACAGATAAGCACTTTCTTTCTTTCTCATCAGGAAAAAGACCTGAAGCAATATATGGACGACTGTGGGAGCATCATGAGCGTCCACAATGTCAAGGTAATCTAGAGTATTACAAGCGGTCAGTATGGAAAAATGGAAAATGTGTCTGGTGGCTGATTGTGTTGTTTACATCCTCT